GCCAAAGGAAATCTTCCCAATGATTAGTTAGATAGGCAGAAATATTTGTTACTGGATAATAAGTAAACTTTAGGCTCAGTTGATAAATATATTTCTTGAGTAACGAACACATTTTCGGATAGTGACTTTCGGTATATGCATGCTGAGGATGTTTCTTATGCCTTAAACTTGCCATCATGCCCCTTTTCTGAGACGATGTGTGAATGAGTGAAAAAGTGTGGGATAGAAACGGATATCGAAAAAACACTGACACTTTCATCAGATATGCCTTCTTTTGGGGAGGAATATGGACCCTTAACAAGATCCGTATTTTACAAGATTATGTGCTCATGTAGGCGACTTTATGTTAATGAGACCTGACGGAACACAAAAATGTCTGTAAGGGTAGATGAGTCCAACGGTCATTAGTGGGCACGAAATAGAATAGCCTCAAATGCGTCAGTTTGCTGATTAGGTTACGGCTGCTACGAAACGCAAGATAAGAGAGGCTATTGAACTTGATAGATTTATGGAATAAAGATAGAAACTAATAATGCTTGATTGAGAAGCCGAAGAAGGAGAGGGCGTTTAGTTACCGAAAAAGAAAAGCAACTCGACTGGTCAGCTCAGTGAGGATTATAACTACAATCACATTCGTTCTAAACTTCTGATGGGAATATTTTTCGTATACAAGTAGAGTTTCGAGACTACCAGTAAATCAGTTAAATGAAATGTATTCACTCTATTTCGTTTAAAGTGATGAAGGACTGGTAGTAGAATGTGATATGGGAACATGTCTGGCCTTCCTTGAAATGTACTTCTGCCCTCTGACCTAAGCTGTCCTGTCGTGGCTCGACTCCCACTGGGGCGTTTGATAAGACCGAGGCGAGGTGGAAACTGCAGTCCACTGGGGCCTGGATGAGAACAACTTTTGGGAAGGTCAGACAATGTGGAATTGAATGGAAACGTTAGCTCTACTCATTTCATTGTGGGAAAACTCTGCTACCAGTCCTTCGTGACCGTGAGCGAAATAGGGCGAATACATCTCATATTTCGGATAGGCTCATCAACCTACCAGACGCTCGGAGTTACGCAACCCAAGTCATACTTTTTCTGGTGTCGTTAGGTCCCGGTGACTCAGGACTGAAGTTGGACCCTATCGTAGCAACTCTAGCCTATGCCCGATATTACAAATGTCAACACACGTACGCACACGTACACCTCAGTGCATAAACTTGAACCAGTATGAAAAAGAACGCATACGATGATTCTATGCCCTTCTATCTGTTTATATTTATTTTAAGCTTTAGGTGTGATTAGCTGAAGCAAGTAAGGTAGAAACAGCAAGTCTTTATGACCTGAAGCTTCCCCGAGAATGAGCTCCATCTCTGAGAATGTCTGCCGAATGGTATGCCGGACGAAAGCGTAGCAAGTTTTTATCTAAAACTGGACAAGATTTCTCATCAATTGCGTCAGCACAAAGGTCGAATTAAAGCCGAAGGACTGCAGAACAATAGGCATCTGCCAACGTCTTCTGGTGGCATGGACTTTTGAATATTTTCATTATACGTTTCTTATCAGAATGAAAGTCTCCACAACAACGTTAGACAATTGTTACCATGGTGGAACTGTGCTTGTGTGTGTGTGTGTGTGTGTGTACTGGTTAAATGGAACTGAGCTATTGCAGCCCTCTGGCCGGTCCTGTTTGAGCGTTACTGACTTTAGGCCAACAAAGATTGCAGCTCATATTAATTTTACCTTGAAAGTAGTCCGTAAGTAGAAGTTACGACGAGCTCACTCTGCTGCACAACTCTGGACCATTTTCTTGCCTGGCCAATCACACGCTAGAATGGCCGATCGATTTGGTCAAGTCAAGTCCGAGTGAATCAGGCAGTTCAAATTATTTCCGGTCGATTTTGAGCTTTTGGGCCGGCCCCGACCTCGAGTGTCGGAATGCTTCATCGGTTGGACTGCTCGCATGGCCGGTCGATTCGGGCCGAGACGCCGACAGCAGCTTCATCAGGCGCCAGCCGGATTCATTCTCAATGACAACGATGACTCAATCTGTGGCAAAAGCTCCGCTCCAGAGACGTCTGTACTGCAGCTGCCAGCTCACGCCGTCCGTCGCCAGGGCCGCATAATGCCGCCCAGTCTCGAGGACTTCGTGCGCTTGACTCTGCCGGTGGGGCAGCACAACTTGACAGTATCACCTCTTCGTCACATGCTTCTGCATGCTAGACCCAACGGGTTAGGACCACGAGGCTGATAGGCACACAAGGACAGGCTGAAACGAGCGCATTGTCTGAGCTTTATTGTTAGCCCTTGCTTTGGCTTTTGCAGACTGAATCGTTTTGGCCGATCGCAGAGGCGAAGGGAACGATGCGGGAAGGTAGAACAAGTCAGCAGAGTCAGGTACATAATCGCATTTACGAAGAAAATGCGGGTTCCGCATGAGCACTGCTGGTTGTAGCAGTGCCATCTTGAAGCTCTCTTCTATTTTGTTCATGTGTAAATTGGCCAAAAGTGGTGAGAGAGGCGATCCCATGGCAAGTCCAAATATTTGTTAATAGATGTTCCCGTTGAACGTAAAATAGATTGTCCTTATTGTCAAGTTGATTAGTCTTGTTAAGGACTCCCTACCGATCGGTCGTGATTCCAGGATATCCTCCTCTCGGTCTAGGGTTTCCAGCAGGGCCATTCGTGCTTTCTCTCGAAAGATATTTGTATATATCCATTCCACACCGAAACTTACCATAAAGTCCATTTCTTCCAGCGCCATGTTTTTGATTTTTTGAGAAAACTCATATTAATGTTTGACCGTATTCGATAGCCTCTCATTTAATT